AGAAGAAGAAGAAGAAGAAGAAGAAGAAGAAGAAGAAGAAGAAGAAAAGAATAAAAGACCTTGAATTTGAGAGGGATATAGGAGGAGTTGGTGGACGGAGACAGAGATAGAGAGGTGTAAATGATGTAAACACAGTATTCATCTATGAAATTCTCAATAAAAATTTTAAATTAAAATACATACATGAGGATGGCAAGATGATTCAACAGCTAGGAGCATTGGCTGTTCTTCCAGAGGACCCAGGTTTGGTTCCCAGCACCCACACAACAGTTCACAACCATTTGTAACTACAGTCCCAGAGGATCTGAAGTCCTCTCCTGGACTCCAATTGCATTGATGTAAGTAGTTGATAGACATATATGCAGACAAAAGACCAATATACATAAAACAAAACAAAATCATACACGTGTGTGAGTGTATGTTGATCTGTGTGAAACTAAATATGAGTAGAATGGGGAAATGTTTGGTAATAGAGGGATGAGATAAGAGGTCATGGTGTGAGTATGGTAATACTACCTGATATCCTTGGATGAAAACATCTTTCAAAAAAGTACCAATTTCTACAAAGGACATACGTGAATAATAATTTTAAAGAAGCAAAATATTTGCCTCAATCAAATTGATATGCCTTTTTAACAGTGAATCCAAAAAAAACTGAAAAGCCATTGAAAAAGAAATACTCTACATAAATATGAAATAAAATAAGATAAAGAAACAAAATTTTTTGTATGCTTCATTATTTAGAAAATATAAGGCTCTAAAATGTAACTTGAAAATTATTAAAGTCATTGAGTAATTCACTCATCTTCCCTTAAGCATATATAATTTTATGAAAAAATTTATTTTGGGTATACAATTAATTATCCGTTTAAAATATCTTGGAAAGATTTGATGTTAAGACAAATTTTCTCTCTAACTGATATATAAACACCATCCAACCACCTGAAGACAGTAGATTTACTTTCTTTTGAAAGAACGTTATAATTTATAAATTTCCAGAAAAGAAGAAACAATATATAAGCTTAACAAAAAAAAATACAAAGTAAACAATGCCCACCCATCTCTGCCCCAGCTGCCAGTCAGCAGGGAAGACTCCTGTGGGCAGGCTTCCACACCAACACCAACTATTGGACTCTGCCATCTACAAGACCCACTCACTAACCCAAACCCACCCATCCCCCTGTGACCTCAGCTGCAACCTGAGAAACATAATCCACCAGCTCTGATTGAACCAAGAGCAGCTCCCTGAGACACAGAATCTGCCAGGTCCAATTAGACCAAGAGCTACGATTGGACCAAGAGTGGCCCCCTGAGACAGAGACACAGCCAGCACAGACTGGACCAAGAGCAACTCCCTCGGACACAGACACATCATGCATTGATTAGAGGAAGAGATGGGTAGATGCCAGTACAAGAATTCATACAACATCATAGAGAGCAATATGGCACCATCAGAAACCAGTGGTTCTACAACAGCAAGACCTGATCATCACAACACAGAAGAAGCAAAAGAAAGTGACCTTAAAAATAACTTTATGAAGATGATAGAAGCCTTTAAAGAGGAAATGAAAAATTCACTTAAAGAAATTGAGGAAAAGACAAACAAAAAATTAGAAGAAATCAATAAATCCCTTAAAGAAAGCCAAGAAAATCAAGAAAAAGCAATTAAACAGGTGAAGGAAACAGTTCAAGACATGAGAATTTAAACACAAACAATGAAGAAGACACAAACGAAGGGAATACTGGAAATAAAAAAATCTGAGTCAACAAAAAGAAACTGCAGATGCAAGCACAACCAACAGAATACATGAGATGGAAGAGAGGATCTAGGGCATGGAGGGTACAATAAAGGAAATAGATTCATCAGTCAAAGAAAACACTGAAGGCAAAAAAGCCATAACACAAAATGTCCAGGAAATCTGGGGACACCATGGAAAGAGCAAACCTAAGAATAATAGGGATAGAAGAAGGAGACAAACACTATGGCAAAGGAACAGAAAATATATTCAACAAAATCAGAAGAAAACTTTCCGAAATTAAAGAAGGAGATACCTATGGAGATACAGGAAGACCATAGAACACCAAGTAGAATCACCCCCCCCCCAAAAAAAAACAATCCCCAGCAACATAATAATCAAACCACTAAACATACAGAATAAAGAAAAAATGTGAAGAGCAGCAAAGGAAAAAGGCCAAGTGACTTATAAAGGCAGACCCATAAAAATAACACCCAACTCTCAATGGAGGCTCTGAAAGCCAGAAAGTCCTGGACAGATGTTTTGCACACACTAAGAGACCATGGTTGCCAGCCCAGACTACTGTATTCAGCAAAACTTTCAGTCACCATACATGGAATACACAAGACATTCTAAGAAAAAAACAGATTTTAGCAATACCTATCCACAAATCCAGCCCTACAGAAAGCACTAGAAGGAAAACCCCAACCTAATGAAGTCAGATGTACCCACAAAAACACAAGCAATAGTTAACCCCACAGCAGTAAATCCCAAAGAAGGGAAACACACACTCACTAATACCAAAAGATAACAGAAATTAACAATCACTGGTCATTAATATCTCTTAATATCAATGGACTCAATTCATCTATTTAAAAAAGGCTAACAGAGTGGATACAAAAACAGGAACCATCCTTCTGATTCGTACAAGAAACACATCTCAACTTCAAAGACAAACACTATCACAGAGTAAAAGTTGGGGAAAGACTTTCCAATTAAAGGAACTTAAGAAGCAAACTGGTGACACTATCCTAATAACTAATTAAATAGACTTCAAACTAAAATTAATCAAGAGATTGGGTAGGATATTACATAATTATCAAAGGAAAAACCCACCAAGATAAATTCTCAATTCTGAACATTTATGTCCCAAATATAAGGACAACCACATATGTAAAAGAAACATTACCAAATCTTAAATTTCGCATCAAACACCACACACTACTAGTGGGAGACTTCACCATTTCACTCTCACCAATGGACAGATCTGCCAGACAGAAATTTAATAGATAAATAAGGGATCTAACAGATGTAATGACTCAAATGTACTTATTAGGTATCTACAGAATATTCCACCCTAACACAAAGGAATATACCTTCTTTTCAGCACCCCATGGAATCTACTCTAAAACTGACCACATACTCAGTCACAAAGCAAATCTCAACAGATACAAAAAAATTGGAATAACCTCCTGTATTTTATCAGCCACCATGGCTTAAAGTTGGATTTCAACAACAACAAAAACTACAGAAAGTCTACAATCTCATGGAAACTGAATAATGCTCAACTGAAACACCAATGTGTCAAGGAAAAAATAAAGAAAGAAATTAAAGGCTTCCTAGAAATCAATGAAAATGAATGTACAACATACCCAAACTTTTGGGATAGTGTGAAAGCTGTGAGAAGAGGGAAATTCATAGCACTAGATGCCCACATAAAGAAGTTAGAGAAGTCTCACACTAGA